AAAGGAAAATTACAACCACTTATTGATAATGGAAAGAATCAACGACCAATTTGTGTGCATATTCAATTAAGTTCCAAGTAAATTTATTGGAAAGCCCCATTTTCTGATTTACTTGAAAATTCTCAAAGAAAACATTAGAAAGCGATTGCATCCCGTCCGTCACACACTTTAATCGTTAAGCCGTATTCAACTTGGCAACAGTGTATCAAGGGTGTTCTTGGGAACCGAAGTGGATCAAAAGAGGGTGAAATTGCTTCTTGAAAAACGTTTAATTACAGTTAAAATCACATTCTGTTTTACTAGTTTTAATTGAATTTACAAAAGTTTTTCAAATAGCATCCTTGTCTGCATGCTGGAGACCTCTGTTAAAGTCAGTATGAAACTCAAAGGATGGTTACTTTTGATGGAAAAATATATTTTTAGACCAAGATACTACACTGAAAGTAAACTTTAAACTTTTTATCTTCACTAACGCTATATCAAATATTTTGGCCGCGCTATCAATTATGGCCACAGTTTTTTTTTACAAAATCTTGAGCATCCTATGATATAAATAAATTGCAAGTATTTAAGACCTACACCGAGTGGATGTCGCAAAAGTTTCTACGAACTTCTTTACACTTTTAAGGTATCGTATCCAGTCTCAGATACGCGCGTATACATATTAAGTATTCCTATTTACTGAAAAAGTACGCGTATTAGTGCCGCAAGGTAAATCTGTCACAACCCAAACGATCTTTAGGGGGAGTTTCTTATCAATTTGAACGCTTCGGACGAAAATGCGCACAGTTGATAATCTCTTTCTGAAAGTTTGAGTCTCAAATCGACCGGGTTTGCCGGTAGATGGAGGGCAGCTCATGAACCCTAGACACTACTTCAGCTTAAGGGCTTCGGGGCTCATGAATTTGTGGTATATCCCAAATTCCAAGAAGCTTCCATTGAGCTGCGACAGGAGCCCGGAAAATCGAAGCCCAGTCTCGACTTATCAAATTTGAATAATTTAGCACACATCTCAGCGCCTGCCCGCTCCAGCACCCCGTCGCACACTGTTGCACATGACTTTAAATTCTGGACAAAACTCCAGTTTCAAAGAAAAGTGATTGAGTATATCAGAAAGGATTCAACTGAAACTAACTTAACTGCATTTCATATTACCTAATATTTCGGTCATTTTTTATTTTTTCGACAGAGAACTAGACTATTATTTATAAAACGCTTTTCAACTATTTCCGTGCATTTAAACCCTAGTTTATGAGAAATATACTCAGAAATTCCCAAGATTCTGTTCTGCTTGGTTTTTAATTCAAAAAATAAAACATCAGAGTATGTTAAACTAGGAACACATTTTGTATTTAGGAACTGCGATTTCGTATACGCCATTCGTCCTCATGTAGATGGGAGTTTTTATGCATGAGTCAGAGCTTGTAGTTCTTTATTGCGAACTGTGGTCCATATCAGTTGATGTATTAAGCTAACTCGTTCACTGCTAAATTTTTCAGGCGGTCCAACAAATTATCTTAGCAATATTTAATTTTCTTCTTTCAAACCTTAGATATGGGGATTTTCGAGAGACAGAAAAAAATTAGCTCATAGGATTATTGAAAATTGTTTAGGGCGCCGTATTGACATTTTATCGCTTTTAAAAGGGGGTAAGTAATAAGTATTACAACAATTGAAAAAAGGTAAAAAATGAGTAAACAAGGCCAATTTTTTTTACCGTGTTAACCCATGTTTTACTTTTTCCCCCAATGGTTTTCATTTTTGTCCTATTAGTGAATTATCCGCAGAAAATTCACACTTCTCATTCCACATTTTCACAAATAAAACATCAGAGAATATTAGATAAGGACCACATTTTGTAATTAGGAACTATAATTTCAGGCTCATTTCAGAAACAGCGTATATGCCATTCATTCTAGAGTGTATGGGAGTTTTTGTAGATGAGCCAAAACTTTTACAACCTTAATGCATTTTTCACATTTTTCTTTTGTAAATGTGTTTCCGAGCTGTGTTTTTGAATGCTTTATTGTTAAGTACTGCAACTAAGCGATTTCAACCATGGAATAATTTCGGATTTTAATTAATTATATATAATATGTAAATAAGTTACAAACTGCTCTGTTGTTTGTATTTTCTCTTTTTAAGTTAGAAACAAAGTATATATTTTCATTATGAAAGCTCATTTGTAGTTACTATAAAAAAAATAATCATAATTTCGGCCAGTCTTTGAGGCCGAATACCACTGTGTGCGTTTGCGTCTTCCTCTCTTTTCCCGGGTATCACCCACGAAAATTTTCTTCCGCGTAATTTATTGTTTGAATAAACTCCAGACAAATTCCTGTGCGAGGGTCACATTAAATGAGGGCTCGCGCACATTATCTGCACCCCTTTTTTCACGGAGGGTCTCGAGACACTCGAGGCTGCCCTTGGGCGGGAGATAACGCGCGACGAAGAGGTTGTGGGGAAGTGAATTCGTTCATAACCGAGTCTATTTTCGCGAGGGGTGACTGGCTCCCTGTCTCCAGTGCTCCTTCATTCCGGTGGTTATGCAATTCGAGCCGCCGGCCGGGAATCCGGGATACTGAAATAATGGACCATTAGACAGGGAGGGAACCAATGCTTTTTTTAGTTATCCACGACACGTTTACATTGTCGAAAATGTCTAGAGTGAAGTCATGTGGCCGTATTTGTAGTCGTTCCTTAAACAGCCCAGCGGGTTGATTCTTGAACTTGATAGACAAAGCGATCGACAAAGACGACATAAGGAGTATGGAGTGATCCTTTACTCGTTGAAATGTGTGGGCCTCATAGATAAGGGAAGAAAATGATGGACTAACTAAAAGGTCTCTTGTGGGTTGCTGTTAGTTAGTCTATTGCCTACTTCCTTTGTCCATTGCAACCACCCGCTTCCATACCAATAGGATTCCTGTGTATCCTTTTTGTCATCTTAATATATAGCTTTGTCTATCAATTCAAACAATCGGCACGCAGATCCGCTTGAGAGAGAATTAAGGTGGACTTGAACATCGCATTATAAAATAGGCAGTTTTTGCTAACCTTGAGTAAAATTCGGTATAGTAACTCTGGAAATGAATCCTAAGAATAAATTTATTACAAACCTGACATAATAAAAAATACATAATACAGAAGAGAATTTTTCGAGACTTTTGTAAATTTTAGGGTAGGTTTGCACCTATCTAAAATTTGGTCAAAATCCAAAAGTTTTTCTTCTGCATTTTGATTTTTGCAGCAGGAAATCATTGTAATCTATTGTAAGGATCCATCTCCAGCACTGGAAAAAAAAAAAAAAAAACACATTGGATCTAGAGTCCAGACTCTTAAAAACATCGACAAGAAAAAATACTCTTGATTCAATCGGATTTTTGCTTCGATCAAGAATCAAACCTCTTAATTTGAGCGGATTTCCTTTTGATTTAAGCTAAAATCTGATCGGATCAAGAGTATTTTTTTCTTGTCAATGTTTTTGAGAGTCTGGACTCTAGATCCAATGTGTTTTGTTCCAGTGAGAATTGCAGTGATGCATTTTAATCGAGGTTCCCAAACAGTTGTTGGTATATACATACCAGAGAATCAACATAAAACAAGTGAGAAAACGAGATACTGTCGAATGGAGCCTTATAACTCTTGGATCACCCACAAAATCGGGTGCTAGACGGTGACAAGTGTGCCTGTGACATGGGGTGTGTCACACGAGTTGTGATGGTAACACATGGCCCTGATTGCCACTCGACACCGCGCCGATAGGAACACCCTCGTTGACAAAACCTTATAGATGGCATCATACTGTTCAGTATTCATTGCTTCAATACCGTCACTCGTTGTGCACAATCGTCATGAATTGAGATTCAGGCGCGTTTTTCAACACCTCGATCTACAGAAACGATGGTGCATGGTGAAGCTTAATCGCATCACTAATTAAGAGGTGCATACTGCCGTGCTAAGGAAGAACGCCGTATGAACCTCTAGGCGTTGCCAAATTTCCCTAGGTAAATCACGAATTCTCGGAGAAATTTTTGAATATTTTTCTTCCAATTTTTCAGATAATGTTGTTCGCAATTTTACCTAAAGTTCTTGCAAATTTCAAGGAAAAATATTCATAACTTTCCTCAAAATTGAACATCCTGTCGAAGGAAATGTGGCAACTCTCGAATGTTCATACGGTGTTTTTCCTTAGCACGGTAGCATACTTCACATGTATTCCACGAGGTAACAAGTAAACGAATAGACTTGTCAGTGGGTGTTTGCGCTGGGCGCTGAGGCCAAGCCCTCCTCAAAAGGGCAAATCTCATAAACAATAAACAATAAAAAAAATAGATCCTAAGAATTGTTAACATCATGATCATCATATTATCCGTTATTTTTCGGGCCAGCCTGGGAGTTTCACGTCAAAATCCCGATGGATTTATGCTATTCCAAACTTTTACCGAGGTTTTTAGATTTTTTCAAAAATTAGGGATCCAAAAGTAATCAGATTTGGGTATAAATGACTTTAAAATCTTGAAAATTGTTTGAAAATTGTATTGATGCAAAGATCAAATCGTTAAAAATTCTTATTGCTCACGTGTAAATTCAAAACGGCAAAATGTTTACTTATGAAGGGCCTAGAGTACGGTTGCATGTCGGATGATACTTGAGTGATTCTATAAATGCAAGATTTGAGATGAAACTCTTCACAGCCCTTGAGGTCTGAAAAAAGGTCACACTGGTGTTGTGAGACTAGAAATTTAAGCCTGATATTTTACTAATTATAATGGTGATGTGAGGCTAGATCTCGAAATAATGAAAATCTATTTTTTTCTCTAAAAACATTCGTATCAACATGCTCCTTTATCAAATTAAAATTTCACAGTTTACTCCTTTACCTTACCAAATTCCTTAAAAGAATAAAAGTAAATCAAGTCCAAAACTATGTCATCATATTTATCATATTTGAGTGCTTAAGTCGAATGATTTTATCTGATAGAAAAAATTGAACTCACCTTTAAATAAAGAAAAATACAGTAGACAGGAACCTCTTCCTGTAGCACGATATATCAGATTTCAATGACAATATTAATTCACTACATTTATCTGAGTATCCTCTTAGTTGTAAGTTTCGATAATCCACTTCATACACAATTAGCAAGGGGGAAAAATTGAAACACAACACGGCTAGTTTTGAAACTTTTGGATTGAAATCTACACTCCGACAAAACAAAACACCGCCATAACCGGGGAAATCTTGATGCAGCAATGCGCATAAGTTATTTTCATTAGATCCTTTTGATTGTGAAACGATTGCCTACAAGAATGCATTTCACTCACGCTGAGCGCTAAAAAACATTTCAAACTGTACGAATATGAATGTCGTTAGGATGCACTTTATCCGTTATTTCAGTGTTGGTAATTCCATCCAGATCATCCAGTCGAAGCGCGGTTTCGTCAAAGCACTTGAAAACTAAAAACAATTACAAATCCAGCATAAAACGAAGAAGTTTCCTGTTTGGAAAGCGTATACACTCATCAGTCATCAGGTATTTTTAAACACGAAAACATTGAATCATTCGTTCAACAACATTCGAAAGTTCACCATCGGATGGTTTCTCAACTTTTAATGGAAAGGTATACAGTCATCACGGTAGTGCAACATTTTTCCAAAGGCATTCACCTCCGAGGTGTTTAAAACATGAAAAAAATTAAAAATGTACAATTTCTGTTAATGATGTTTAATAAATTTAAGTTGATGTTTTTTGTTTTTTTCATTAAAAAAGGAAGCTTTCCATCTTTGCAGAAAAAAATTAATTATGTGCGTACACTAACGAAGTCAGTTTTAAAAACCATAGCGACCGAAAAACTATTTACTACCGGTGTGAAAGCGCCAAATAAAAATTCACCATTTACGTAACGCGATACAATGTAACTCGACGCGTCGTAAATACCCGTAAATCAGTCGTAAATCGGCCTGAAGAGGAGTTCGCTTACGGAGCGAAAGTGTCAAAAAACAAGGGGCTCGACCCTGCAAAAGCACGCAAGACGACGTAACGTAAAACCCATCATGGTCAAAGAAAACTCTCGACGCGGGAATCGACCGGAACGCGCGGGAGGAACGGACGGCGCACGTGGTTCGGGGACGACCCGCGGGGAACGACTGCCGGGAGAACGGTGCGCGGGCGGGAAGCGAGCGTGCGTTTCCCCCGGTCGGGAAACGTCGGGAAAGCGGCTTCGTGCCCCCCGCGCCGGGCGCCGCCGGAAAGAGCCGAGCGCCGCAGACGCCGAGCCCGACGGGGAGCGAGGAACGAGACGAGCGGAAGTTTCCGGAGATCCGACGTCGGCGTCGAGCGGGAGGGTCGTGGCTCCGGGGTCTGGTTCTCTGGATTTTATTCCGAGGATGAGAGATTATCCGAAATTTTTGGTATTTACCGATTTTATTCCGAGGATGAGAAATTAGCTAGAATTTTTTGGTATTTTCCGAATGTAATCCGAGGATGAGAGATTAGTCGAAATTTTTTGGGATTTTCCGAGGATGAGAGAGATTAGCCAGAATTTTTGGGTATTTCCCGATTTTATTCCGAGGAGGAGATATTAACCGGAATTTTTTGGTACTTTTCGATTTTATTACGAGGATGAGAGATTCGCCGGATTTTTTTGGGATTTCCCGATTTTAATCCGAGAAGGAGATATTAACCGGAATTTTTTGGTGCTTTCCGGTTTTATTACGAGGATGAGAGATTAGCCGGATTTTTTTGGGGATTTTCGATTTTATTCTGAGAATGAGAGGTCAGCCAAAATTATCTGGTATTTTCAGATTTTTTCCCGAGGATGAGAGATTAGCAAGAATTTTTTGGTATTTTCCGATTTTATTCCGAGGGTAAGAGATTAGCCGGAATTTTTAGGATTTTTTTTATTTTAATCCGAGAATGAGCGATTAGCCAGAATTTGTCTGTATTTTCAGATTTTGATCCTCGGATAAGAGATTAGCCGGAATGATTTAGTATTTTACAAAGTTTTGGGGATTTAAGCCTTGTTGAGGCGAATTTTCGCGGCGGGATTCGGTTCATTTTTCGATGGATGACTGATGTCGTCACCTCCTATTCAAAGTATAATAAGTGCCAAGCGACGCTTCAAAATTTCCACTGCACTTTTATTTTCTTACAAAGAAATTGTTCAACGAAGCTGTCCAAAAATGTCGCTGAATTTTCTTTGTGCTGCCAATGAAATTCAGTGAAAATTTCGAATATATGTAGATTCAACCAACGATTTCTCTTTAAAAAATAAAATGACGTTGGAAATTTTGAAACACCGCATGACACTTGATATACTTTCGCCAGAAGGTTACGATTTGTCATGCTTTAAAGTTCAAGGAGGGTCATTGCTATCCGCGAACAAAGCTGTTGAGTCCCGAGCCTAACTGCAGTTTTTCTCGATTATGTTGCATGCTTGGATATTTGCTAGATTCTTTGGATATTTTGTCTCTGCAAGGGGCCAGTCTTAAATTACATCGCACACCATGGGGGAAAGGGTGACTTGACCACCGCTGAGAAGAACGAGGTGGTAAGGGTGTTGAGTCTAGTATTGCGGAACGGATTTTCTATTTTTCGAGTTTCCTCCTGGAGGTGCATCGTGAGCTCATAAATCTTCTCCAGTTTGATACTTCTCAGTTTCTTCCCAATTTTCTTGACCAAAAAATAAATCTAATTCCTGTCATATCAATGAATTCTTCCTGACCAATGGAAATGCACGTATTTTGTAGAAACAGAAAACCGAAATTCTGCCGTGCCAAGGATTTTCCAAGCCAAGGGTAGGAAGGAGGGAGGCTTTTTTTGTGCCAGGGAAATTCTCCTGAAACCTATGGATGTTGCTAAATTTAATTAAACGAAACTCGAATTTTTAGAAAAATTAGTAGCAATTTTTTGGAGAATTTTTTTGTGATTCGATTTAAAGTGTCTAAAAATTTCAAGGAAAACTGTTAATGACTTTCCTCCAAAATAAATATTTTCTGAGAGGAAATTTGGCAACATTTAAATGTTCATATGGCGTTTTTTCTTCAGCATCGCAGCATTGAGTTTCAAGTTTTATACAGTTTTACCGAATTTCCGCGGTCGGGACTGAAAATCTCGATTCCAACTGCCAAATTTTTCGCAGAGTGCTTAGTGCCGGAAATTTATCGTGCAGAACAAGAACATAACGAGTTGAAAAGAGATGTGATGCATCATTATGGCCTTCAATTTGAAAGCTCCCATGGAGGAGAATTTTAGAAGGCATCGAAGTGTTTAAGTTTGTTCATGTTCCTCACTAAACAACCAGTGAAGGGTAGTTAAATTACAAAATCCATGCCCCGACAAAACCTCCTTAAAGATCAAACCGAAACTTCTGATATCGCCGCACGCTGTCACGACCAGACACAACCTCTGTTCGTCAACACCGCCCTCAACATGATACCTCAAGTCAATTCACCGCGATATTCCTACCCCGTTCTCTTTGATCAAATCCCTGTCGAGGAGCAAAGCGTTCCAATTGAATACTTTAAACCCTACCTTAATATTTCTCTCTCCGAAGTAGAAAATCTTAAGGTTAATATACGGTGGAAGTACACAAATATCGAAAAATCGAGCAAATTTGGCTGGGCTAATACGAGGTTTGAGATTTTATCCCTCTACGTTACTCAATGTTATGGACGAAATTCAATAACTAGATTTGCCATCAAAATATTTAATTGAAACTTAGAATCTCCTTTGACTCCTGAGTTTGATTTTCACCCTGTATTCCCCCACTCCAGGTTAGGAATGGGAAAAATGACTATTTTTAGTTTTCTTACTCTTATTCGCCTATTTCTCAACCAAACAGCTTGAAATTTGGTTGCCTTATCTTTAAGTATGTACGAGTGAAGATGAGTCACCAAAAGTTAATTACTAGCGCCCAATTTTTTTTAAAAAAATAAAGAACACCGAAACACCCGAACAGCAACCGAAAATGAAGATTTTTGAGGTTCCAGGACGAGAATACTCGTCCGTACGCCCGTAGGGGCTCAATGCGATTTTTTCAATGACGAGTATACTTGTCCGTAGGAAGCAAAGGGTTAAAAAGAGAAAATTTACGCCTAGTTAAATTCAAAACTGCTCCCAACCCATTTTTTCGAGATGGAACTTGGTGGGTTGTTCTTAAACTCGCTTCATTTCAGCTGATTATTCTCAGAAATCAGTTTTGTAAAATCTAGACGGTCAGAAGTTTCCGTGCCTATGCTCTTTTAGGTTGCTTTGAGTTACTTTTGCTTCAACGCTCGATGGATCCGCTTTTTGCCAAAAACTCTTTTGAGGAATGCGTTCGATACCTCGATATTACTTTACTTCCGGCGTGTTTTCGTCTTTAATACTTTAAATCCGCTCGTAATATCACTCTATCCCCCCTCCCTCCCCCTCCTTTCCAAACGACGACGACGACGAATCTGGAATCAGGAAGAAACAGCGATTTAATGAAAAGATAAGACCCCAGATTTATACCTCGCGCTTCCTCTCGTCGGATCTTTTTAACTCTTGCCAAAAATCTCACCCCCGCATTCAAACGCGGAACGAACCTGTTCGGTGGCTCGGGGTGCTCCCGTGAAAAACGTCGGAGGGTGGGGATGACGCGCTGAATTCCAACGTCACGGGATGGAGTGGGCACGAAAATCCGGGATTCTGGATCCGCCCCTACGGAATTGGGGAAGGAGACGGTGCACGGGACGCCAGCACCAGTTTGGAGATAAATTAAGAGACCTCGTAGGGGGACTCAATAAGAATGAGACCTGGAACGCGGGTCGTGCTAGGGAAAAACGCCGTATCAAGATTCCGATGCTGCCAAATTTCCCCTATAAAAAATCGAGATTCCTTGTATTGATTAGAATCTATGACCGTCTATGCTGCAATCTTGCGGAAGAACGCCGTATAAACCTTAGGACGTTGCCATATTTCCTGAAATGAAAACCGAAGTCAACAGAAAAATTGTGAATACTTTTCTTCAAATTTTTTGGATAATTTTGTTCGGAATTAAATCTGAAATGCCTGAAAATTTCGAGAAGAAATGTGCATTTTTTATTCGGGAAAATTTGACAACTTTCAAAGTTCATACGGCGTTCTTTCTTAGCATGGCAGTATGGAAAGAGAAATCTTAGCCATCAAGCACTCAAAATTGAGTAACTAGTCCCGGAACGTGAAGGACAGCCGGCCGGATTGGCTATGTGGTTAGCCCGTCCGATTCTGATTCGATAGGTTTTGCCTTGGAATTTCGGCGGTAGCGACAAATTTGGGCAGAATTCGCGTGTGGGTCTACTGAAACAGACTCCACTCGGCCTTAATCCCTGGATCCAGGCTCCTGCTATCAAATGCATATTTGCATATCGAAGCCAGATAAACAATCCAAAAAAACACCCCGGCGGGAAGCTCCAATACTTAGGTATCAGAGAAATTCAAGAGCGTAAAGATGAACAGGAGCTGAGATCGCGTTTAAGGCTACGTCTGCCATCTTGGATTTTTGAAATTTGAAAATATGCCTAAAATTTCGGGTTTCCCGTCTAAAATTACCCCCTGATACCAAGTTTCACAAACATAGATCGGACAGGAGCCGAGACAACATTCGTCTATCAAACCTGCAAAATGACAAAAATACAC